GGGCGCGCGGGCGCGCGCACGTACAGCAGCCCGCGGCGCCGGTCGAAGCGCACCGAGGCGGCCTGCCGCGCGTCCCGGGGCAGCAGCGCAGCGAGGGTGGGCAGAGCCGGGAGGCCTCGGCGCGGCACCAGGCGCGTGGGCGCGCGACACACCGGGCAGGACACCGCGTCGCCGCCGCCCACCGTGGCCAGGGACAGGCGTGCCAGGCACTCGAGGCAGAAGACGTGGCCGCAGTCCAGGCGTTTGGGCAGCTTGAAGGTGCCGTCGAAGGGTGACACGCAGATGAGGCACTCGGTGGGGGACGCGGGGGACAGCATGGGGCCGGCGCTGGGGCTGCCGTCCCGCTCCTCCTCCCCATCTTCGTCCTCTGCGCTGCCCTGGGGGGCACGCGGGCGGCGGAGCCAGGGCGGCCGAGGGCACGGCATGGGGACCACCCGCGGGAACCGGGTGGAGGGCAGGGGCAACCCCGGGTACCGGAGACGCAGGGCCGAGGGGAAAGACGCCCGGAGGAGCCCTGTGGGGGAAGACAGGAGCTGGAAGGTGAGGCAGCCAGTGAGGAAAGGAGTCAGGGGAAAGACCCTGGGAAAGAACGAAGCAGCTAGATACAGGGATCCGAGGAGGACCAAGGAAACGGGCGAGGCTCTGAGGGGTCCCGGGCCCTAGGAGGGGCACCCAGCAGGGGCACAAGGCCTAGCCCAGCCCGCTGCCCCGTACCTGCAAAACCTCCTGTCCGCAGCCGGCTCGCTGTTGTGACCGTGCTGCCGAGGGAGGCGGGTATCGGTGTCCCTCCCTGGGGCCGCCCCCTCTAGGCACTCGCGGAACCCGTTGGGCAACCCTCCCCACCCAGGGCGAGCCAGTCTGACCGGGCGGACAGCGAGGACGACTGTAAGGTAGGGTGGGAGCCTCCGAGGGCAACCCGGAGGAGCCTGTGCAGAGGGTCCTGCTGGGTCTGGGGCCAGGGCAACTGCAGAAGGAAACTGGCAACCTCCGGGACTGTTTCCTCCACCTAGGGATGGTTCCAAGGAATGCCCTCAGGAGCACCCTGAGCCACCGTGCCACACCCTCAGAGGTAGGCAGCCCCACTCTGCATTCCCACTGCCTCCTGGACACCAGGGCTGCCTGCTGCACCTCTGTCCACCTCCAGCGCATCACAGGTCCCATGAGCGAACAGCTGTGGCAGGTGAGCACCCCATGGCCTCCAGCATCCCCCACCCACAGACAACACAGCAAATGGGAGGGCTGCCCCATGGGCACAGTTTATTGGGCAGCAGCTGGGAATTTAGCGGTTGGACTTGGCCACACGCTCCAGCTCATCCTTCTTCTTGATGGCATAGGAGTTTGAGGAGCCCTGCAAGGAGACAGGTGTCAATTCTAAGTGCTGGCTAACCCCCCACACCCACCCAAAACTCACCCCCACTGACCTTGGCAGCATTAATGAGCTCATCTGCCAGGCACTCGGCGATGGTCTTGATGTTCCGGAAGGCAGCCTCCCGGGCACCCGTGCACAGCAGCCAGATGGCCTGCACAGCACAGGGCAATGTAAGCCAGCCAGACTGGGATGCTCCAGCACCTGGCCCAACCTCAGCAATGCCAGCTAAACACGTCACTCCAGCCTAACGAGCAAGTCTGATAGGGTGGTGACATCCTCTTGGATCCCTCTGCCCTAACTTCCCAAGTATCCCACCACACCACTTAAAAATATCTCACTGATTCATTTTTTGTTGTTATTTTGCAGTGCTGGGGATTGAATGCAGGGCCTCAAGCACTCGCCACTGGGCTAAATTCCCAGCAAGTCTCACTCTTAGGAGAAACTTCTGAGTGACAGCAAAGAAAGGTTAAATGGTCCAAGAAGAAAGGATACCCCAGCAAACCCGCAAACCCCTCAAGTTTTACAGAGTGTAAACTGTGTGCTAGAAACAGGATGAAACCCAGCTCGGGGCGGGGGTGCCAGGGCCTGGATGGCACAGGGTGGGAATCCAGGAAGCTCCCCTGGAGGAAGTGAGGCTCCAGGTGACGTATGTACCAGGCACAGACGAGCCTACCTGCCCAGATGAGACTCCACCCAGCCCTGGTGGCTGATCCTGGCCTGCTACCCACGCAGGCCACGGACCCACCTGATTCACCCGGCGCAGTGGGGACACATCCACTGCCTGTCGCCGCACTGTTCCCGCTCGCCCAATGCGCGTAGAGTCTTCCCGGGGGCCACTGTTGATGATGGCGTTCACCAGGACCTGCAGCGGGTTCTGGCAGAGAATGGGCCCTGAGCAGGTGACGTGCCAGGGTGCTTGCTGGGAGTGTTACGGCCCGCCCTCCACCCCGGAGCACTACCTCGCCCGTGAGCAGGTGGATGATCTCGAAGGCATGCTTGACGATGCGCACGGTCATGAGCTTCTTGCCGTTGTTGCGGCCGTGCATCATCATGGAGTTGGTGAGCCGCTCCACAATGGGGCACTGAGCTTTGCGGAAGCGCTTGGCAGCATAGCGCCCCGCGCTGTGGGGCAGGTACTTGGCATACTTCTCTTTCACTGCAATGTAATCCTGCACAGGGCGGAGAGGCACACAGTCAGGGGCAGGCTGCGCTCTGCCAGGGAAGGACCTAGCACCCCACGAGGCCCCAGCTGCCCACAACCCCACTCAGCCAAGCCGGGGACACAAGCGTGAGTCTCAACTGCCACGTCACTAATAGGAACATGCTGTTGATGGAGGGAGTAAGGAATGTGACTCCAGGTTTTAAAACGTCATTCCCCTAGCCACATACGCTCTGGATATCTGGGAGCAGACTATAGTATCCACCACAGGATGTTAGCTGCACCCCCCTCAGGTTTTGTTTTCTGCAGTACTGGGGACTGCACCCAGGGCCTTCCCACTGAGCTGAATCACCAGTCCTTTAAAAAAATTTTTTGGGGGCCAGGGAGTTAGCTCAGTGGCACCACGCCTGCCTTGAAAGCACTAGGTCCTGAGTTCGATCCCTGGTATGGTGGGAAAAAAAACTTCTTTTTTTTGTTACCAGAGACCGAACCCAGGTCCTTGCACTGGCAAGGCAGGTGGTGGAACCACTGAGCTAAATCTCTGGCCCAAAAATCTTTTTTCCTTTAAGTTTTTTTCACAGACAGGGCCTTCTAATTCAAGCTGGCCTTGAGCTCGAAGCGACCCTCTTGCTTCAGCCTCCCACGTGCTGGGATTATAGACGTGTGCTACCATGGCTGGCGCCTTTCAAATCTTTTGAGACAGTCTAATTTTTTTTTTTTTTAGTTCTTTTATTGGTACATTTTAGGTATACAATTCGTTTCCATTTATCATTGGGTGCTTGTACCTGTACATGATGTTATCTTGGTTCTTATTTTTTCCCCATTACCTGTGTGCCCTTCACCCCCTCCACCCTTCCCTATTTACATAGTTTTCATTTCCATTTTTTTTTTCTTTTCCCATAGTTTTTCCTTTCCCCTTCCCCTCCCTTCACCCCTTCATCTTTGGACCGTTTTTCCTATTTCAAATTATCAATTATTCATTTTAATCATTTTAACCCTTGTTTACACTATCTGTTTCTCACACCAGAGAAACTATTCAGTATTTACACGTATGTCCTATTTATTTCACTTAAGAGTATGGCCTCGATATGCATCCATTTAGCTATAAATGACTAGTTTTTCATTCTTTATCGCTAAGTAGTACTCCATTTTATAAAAACCCCACATTTTCTTTATCCAGTTTCCTGTTGATGGGCACTTAGGCTGCTTCCAAGCTTTAGCTATTACAAACTGTGTCGCTATAAACATGGGTGCACATATATCTCTGTGGTATGATTCTTTTAATTCTTTTGGGAAGATACACAGCAGGGGACTATCTGGGTCAAATGGGACCTCTACTCCAAGTTCTTTGAGGTATCTCCATACTGATTTCCACAGTGGTTGCACCAGTCTGCATTCCCACCAGCAATGGAGAAGGGTTCCTTTTTCCCCATACCCTGGCCAGCATTTGTTATTGGTTGATTTCTTTCTTGTTTTTTTTTGGTACCAGGGATTGAACTCAGCACCTTGCACTTGCAAGGCAGGCGCTGGAACCACTGAGCTAAATCCCCGGCCCTATTGGTTGATTTCTTGATAGCAGCCGTTCTTTGTGGGGTGAGGTGGAATCTCAGTGTTGTTTTCAGTCTCACTAATTTTCTCAGGCTGAGCCCAAACTTGTGGTCCTGCTTCAGCCTCCTGATTCACTGGAATTATAGGTGTGTGTGCCTGGCACCCTCAGTTTTAACAACTAGTGTTTCTACATATTGCAGAATGTCCCCTATAGAAGGAACCACTCCCCCACACTGAGAACCACTGTTTTGAAAGAAAATGTCTAAAAAAAATATGCCAAAATGTTAACCCTGAAGATGTAAAAAAGATGGATGGAATTAAAGGAGCTATGTGTACGCCAAGGGGACTGCTGTTGATCATCCCACCAGAGGGTGCTGAGACCACTGTATCACTTGCATGTGAGAATATACGCAAGCAAGCAGAGCATGGTGGTGCATGCTTTTAATCCCAGCAATCTAGGAGACTGGGGCAGGAGAACTGCAAGATGAAGCCCAGCCCGGGCAATTTGGCAAAACCCAGACTAAAAAAACAGGTATGATGGTGCACAACTGTCACGCCTGCACTCTAGGAGGCTGAAGCAAGTGGATTACAAGGATCTAGACTAGCCCAGGCAACTTAGCAAGATCATCTGCAATGTCAGACAGACACACACACACGTTCTTTGAATTACATGAAACAATGGGAAAACAGCAAAGCCGTCCAACATCCAACCTGGAGAGAAGCAAGTGCACCAATGCCCCAGTGCACACTGAGAACCCTAGTGCCACACTGCCTTTCACATCCCAGCTCTGACAGCAGAGCAGGGACAGCAAAAGTAATGCTTACATTTTTAAAAGGTTGTACCAAGGGCCAGGGATTTAGCTCAGTGGTTTCGCTGCCTGCTGTGCAAGTGCAAGGACCCGAGTTCGATCCCCGGTACAAAAAAAAATATATATATATATATATATATATATATATTGCTTAAAAAAAAAAAAAGCTTGTACCAAAAACAACACACAACAGATTTATGAATAATTGAGAACCACTGTGACCTGTGATGCCTGAAACATTTACTATTTAGTTCCTTAATGAAGTCTGGGGATGGAGACTGTAGGTGAGTGGTAGCGTATATACAGCAGGTAAGAGGTCCTGGTACTGTCACTACCACCACAATCACCACCACCACAAAGTTTGCAGACCTCCCCAAACAAACCTATGAAGGAAAAAAAAAAAATCTGACATTCAGAATGAAAAACAGGCCTAGGGGGCTGGGGATGTAGCTCAGTGATTCTGGAGCCTGCCTCTAAAGCGCAAAGTCCAGAGTTCGATCCCTGGTACCAAAAAAAACCCAAAAAACAACAAAACACGCCTGAACTGTCCTTTAGGTATAGTTCAGAAGTCTTGTAATATCTCTAGAGGCAACAAAATATTTTCATTCTTTTTAAAACAAAGGGAACCAGGCATGGTGGGGCAGGCCTGTAATCCCAGCATTTGGGAGGCTAAGGCAGGAAAATTCCAGCAGTTTGAGGCCAGACTGGACTACATAGTTAAGTTCAAGGCCAGACTGAACTACATATTGCAGTGAGACTGTCTCTAAGTAAATAGAAAAAGAAAGGTAAATAAATAAAAACAATCCAGTTTATATTTGTTTATAAACACACAGTAACAAAATCCAACATTTAATAAAAGGGTAAAAAAAAAAAAAAGGGTAGTGCCAGAGCTCAGGAGGCTGAGGCAGGAGGATCAATGCAAATTCATGGCCAGCCTGTCTCAAAACGGGGGGGGGGGGGGGCAGCAAGCAATAAAAGAAATAGTTCCTGGGCCAGGGATTTAGCTCAGTGATGCTGCACCTGACTTGCAAGCACAAGGTCCAGACTTTTTTTATTTTGGTACGAGGGACAGAACTCGGGACCTTGTGCTTGCGGGGCAGGCAGCAGAACCACTGAGCTAAATCCCCGACCCAAGGTCCTCAGTTTGATCCCTGGTATCAGAAAACAAAACCAAACCAAAAAGCAATAGTTTCTAAAGTCCACAAAACTCATGAAACTCTGGTAGGAAGAAAAATTTATGTGTAAATGAGTATGGCAGCAAGAATAAAGCAGGAAGCCAGGTGTGGTGACACAGGCCTGTAATTCCAGCTCTGTAGGAAGCTGAAGCAGTATCAAAAGGAGTCTATCCTGTGCAACTGAGTGACTTAGAAAACACTTTCTCAAAAAGGGGGACGTAGCCCAGTGCAAAGAATGTGGTTTCAACACCCCTTCCCCCCAAAATAGATGCACTTATTTACTGATTTAAAAACTTTATAAAGTTACAGTACTCAAGACTCCTACTGGCATAAACACAAGACATACAGACCAGTGGGATACAATTCAAAGTTCAGAAATAAATTCATACACCCATGGGCAATCAAGTTTTTCCAAGGGTGCCAAGCTCATTCAATTAATTGGTGTTGCACAACTGAATATCTACATAGGAAAGAACTATGCTGGCTCTTACTTTAAAATGGTGGATTTTTCCCCCTCAGCCTCAGGCCAGTGCTACCTAGGCCTGAAACACTGAATAATTATTTTCTTACAGCAAAGTCAAATCTGACACACAAGAGTAAATGGAATGCCAAACTCCTAGAGAAGAAACCATCTCATGACAAACGCAGCAAACTTTGGACAAGATGTTAAAAAGAATGGATATGGCCAGGGATTTAGCTCAGTGGTTTCGCTGTCTGCTGCACAAGTGCAAGGACCCAAGTTCAATGCCCGGTACCAAAAAAACAAACAACAAAAAAACGATATGTAGGTAGGTGTTGTGGCACATACCTGTTGTTTTTTTTTTTGGTACCAGGGATCGAACTTGGGACCTTGCGCTTGCGAGGCAGGCGCCGGAACCACTGAACTAAATCCTCAACCCATGTGGCACATACCTGTAATCCCAGCATATTAGGGAGCTGAGGCTGGAGGATCAAGTTTTAGTCCAGCCCAGGAAACTTAGTGAGAGCCATCTCAAAAACAGAAAAGGGCTGGGGATGTAGCTCAGAGGGAAGGCCCTAAGTTCAGTTCTCAATAGAGGGTGGGGATAAGAAGTGGATGTGCAAGTCCAGTGAGCTCTCCTTTTCCTGTCATTCCTTCAACTGCTGACTTGGTGGGACAACTAAAACTTTAAAGCGTCCCCTCCTGGAGGAACCTACATTTCCTATTGGGAAGACCATAACATTCTGCTCACCTGCAAGGAAATGTCATTTATTTGTACATCGTCAGTGCTCCACTTGCCAAAGAGCTTAATGTCAGGGGTCTCGGCCACCGCCGGTGCAGCTGTCTCCCACTCGGTCATCCTAGAGAAGGGGTGGGGGAAGGGAGAAACAGTCAGAGCCCAGCTAGCCCTCAACATAGGCAGCCCATGCCCACCGCTCCTAGGCAGACCCCTTTGTGGACTAGGGAGGTGAGTGGGAGTGAAGGTCTCTCTCAGCCCCAGGAAAAGCACTCAGGTGTAAGCGACGCGTCTCTCACCAGGACCTGGTGGTGGCCTGGTCAGCAACTGCTGCGCGGAACCCTCTATAACCCAGACATCACACCGACCAGGAACCAAATGCCAGGCGAGAAAAAGTTCAGAATGCGGCTTTCTCACCCGCACGATGCCTTTGCTGCCTGGCACCGGCACCGCACCAATTCCGCGGTGACCGATGCAAAAGTTTGCACTCTGGCCCGACACTAGGGGCTGCTACGGAGAAGAAAAACGTGTACACGGTAACGCACACGTTGTGAAACTCAGGAACCAAAAACTTCCCATTCCGGTGCACGGCTGAAGAGCCCAAACTAGCCTGCGGAGCCGAAAACTGCAGATGGCCCAGCACAACCCAGAGCCGAAGGACAGGGCGCCCTCCTGCGCACCCTTCTTCCGGAAGGGGTGAGGCACCAAACGGGAAAGCCCGGTTCCGGTGCTCGCCACCGCTCCCCCGGTGATCCTCGCGGGCCGCGGAGCGCCGACCCCTCGGCAGCCTCACCTGAGGGCGCAGCTACGTCGCCTTAGCCACACAGAACGAACCACGCGCCAACCTGGCAGAGACAGGAAAAGGCCAGGCGCTCCGTGTCGACGCCTTTAAGGAGAGCGAAAACTTCCGGGTCAGAGACGACACGGCGCGCGCAAGGTCACCGGTTGTTCGAGTACCAATCCGGGACGAAAATGAAAGGCCCACCCTGCGGCGCACGTCCCTAGCGCATGCGCACTTGAGGAGGCCTGGGGCTGTTCCGTATAAGTACTTGCCCATCCAGCGAGCCTCTGCTCAAGCGCAGAGACATCCGAGAAGTTAACTCCGCCATATCTAGTAAGGGCAGAAGACAGGCCCTCGCTTTAGATTTAGGCCGCTGACCGCCAGCAGCGGGCTCAATCCAGAGCAGTCTGCTCGGCACCTTCTCGTTCTCCTTCGCCGTCACGGCTGCCTCGCGGGCGCGCACTGGGGGCCTGGGTTGGAGAGGGGCCTGGTGGCTACGACTGCCCTTCGCTGGTCCCGGCCACCGCCCCCTCCCATGACTCCGCAACCCCCACCTCTGCCCAAGCGTTGCAGGCGGGACGGACGAGGGCCGGGGTCGTGGCTGTGGGAGCAGGACCTGACCCATCTCTGAGTGGAGAACCCGGAGAAGGGCAGGGCTGGCCGGCTGGGACCCTTCTTGCAGCCCCCGACGGTGCCTATTCCGCGGACTCCCAAGTCTGCGGACCTTGCTCCCAGGAGCTGTGGGCCAGGTGGCCTCTGCATTTGCGACCGAAGGCTGAGAGGAAGAGGATGGCAGATACGGCCACGTTGTGAAGATATGTTCCCGCACGTGCCTCTCCCCACCCCAGCGGCTCTGAGAATGGCGTCTGAACGGGTCGAGTGGGGAGGGGGGCGCAGGTCCCCAGGCCTCTCAGTGAGGAAGCTTCCTTTTCCGGGCCTCAGGTTATCCCACCAAACCGCGGGATGGCCTGGGAGACCCGCCTCCCCAAACCTGCTTCCCCTTTCAGTGTGGAAGTGAGGACCCACTCTGGTAAGGCTGGTTTGCAGCACGTGGGTTGGCCACGGTGCATGCTTGATAACGGACATCTTCATAGACATAGGAGTGACCCGCCAGGTAGCAGAGGGCAGATGAGGGGTCCTGGGCATGGCTCATAGGTGGGGAGATGGAGAATACTGCACAGATTATTCACAAGGCCCCTTGGCAAGCCAGGGGTGTCCACCCTTCCCAGGGCCCCAGGAAGCTGGCACAGAACCCAGGGTCTTACTCCATGTGTCTAGGGCTGCTGGTGTTTTCAGATGACGAGGACCCCGCAGGCTCTATGTAGGGTCCCCCTGGTGCCTCATATCCACTCGGGGCTGACCAGCCCCAGCCCAGCTTCCTCACCTCCTGGAACAGCCACGCACTGTCAGGGAGCCACTTCCCCATCCACTCTTCCAGCCATCTGCTCTGGTGGCCTCTTGATGGTTTCTCATTGCCCTCACTGGCACCTTGGATGTCTCAAAATCATCGGGCTGATTTTCAGCCAGTTAGGAATGTGTGGAGTGTGGATGCGCCCAGCTGTCCCGGTAGAGCCACACTCAATCTCCGGCTAGGTGCCAGACGAGGTCTTACACCCATAGCTGACTCATCGTGGTCCATTTTGGCCTGGCCACCGTCTGCTCTTATACTGAATCGTGAGAGATTATAGAGAATCGCCACACTCTGAGCCAAATTTGAGTCCTTTATTGCTGGTGATCGAGAGTGGCTTGCACTTGAAAAACTCTGGATGACGAAGGTAGAGAGGCGGCTTGCAGGTTTCTTTTTTTCTTTTTTGTACCGGGGATTGAACTCGGGTCCTTCCACTTGCGAGGCAGGCGGCAGAACCACTGAGCTAAATCCCCGCCCTGCAGGTTCCTTTTAATTGGCTCTTCTGGTTGGGGAGGGTTCAGGGAGAGGGGGAGAGCAAATGGAATTTCACTGGAGCAGAACTTTGCTAAGTTAGTGGGGGTCAGGGAGCGTTTCACACATTTTAGTTGAAACAAAATATCACATAGGTGCAGAATATTCTGTTTAGAAGATAAACGGAATATTGTAAAGATAACATACAGTTGCATACTGCTCTACCAATGGGATGCTGTGGCATCAACTGAGGGGACTCCCAAGGGGGGAGGGGAGGCGACCACCCGGAATCACTTGACTTTACATGAAATGGGGGGGACCAGTGGTGCACAAAATAAAGTCAGGTTGGCTATCACTCTCATAGAATGCACGCCTGTAGTAGACTGAATAGTGGTCCCCCAAGATATGTCCATGGTGTAATACAGAGATTCTGAATATGGCCGTACTAGAAAAAGGGTTCTTCACAGATTTTTTTTTTAGTATCTTTCTGTGATTTTTTTTTTTTTGAAACAGGGTCTTGCTATGTGTCCAGTATTGAAGGCCGATGATCAGTCCTCCGACTTCCTACAAAGGGGGATGGCAAGGTCTAAAGAAAAACAGACAGTAAAGACTAGTAATTTTTTTTTTTTTAGGACTTATGTAATTTCAAAGTGTATGGGGCCTGGGAGGTCAGTGCCTCAGAGTGGGCAAACACCAAGGCTCTCCATACTAGCCAGCATTTATTGGGTACACACAATAATTGGAGGGAGTATGGGGTGATTTAGGGCTGTGGAGCTGCGAATCTCACTCTGATGAGGGTGGTAAGGGGAGCATTCCTACAACAGTAGGTGGGGTGAGTTACACTGACAAGGAATCTGTCCCTCCCCAGGTGAGACCTTTCTCTTTTGTATTACTACTGGGTTCTCAAAGACCCAGGATGTCTTCAGCGGATGTAATCCTGCCCTTGAGCTCCACAGCATCACCAGACCATTGAGGCCTCAGCTGTGATGCCCTGGTTGGCTCATGGGCAAGGCAACACTGAGCCTTAAACAGCTATAGTCATACTTTAATTACGAAGTGATTTTTCCCAAAAATTTATGTAGAATGGCCCTTGACAGTCCAGGTTGGCTTTGAACTCACTATGTAGCCCAGGCTGTTCTGGAATTCACTGTAATCTTTCTGGCTCAGCCTCCCAAGTGCTGGAATTAATATTTAGTTCAGGATGTTAAAATGAGATTATCCTAGATTACTAGGGTAGGTTTTAAATCCAATGACAAGTAGGGGCTGGGATTTAGCTCAGTGGTTCCACCGCTTGTGTTGCAAGTGTGAGGTCCTGAGTTCGATCCCCGGTACCAAAAAAAAATCTGCAATGACAAGTGAATCAGATGTGGTGGCATATCCCTGTGATCCCAGCATTCTGGGAGGCTGAAGCAAGAGAATCGCAATTTTTTGCTTTTTTTGAGACAAGGTCTTGCGATGTAATTCAGACTGGTCCTGAACATACTACGTAGCCCAGGCTGGCCTTGAATTCATGGCAGTTCTCTTACCTCAGCTTCTTGAATGCTGAGATTACAGGTGTGTGCCACCATGCAGCAGGATCACAAATTGAAATCCCACCTGGACAATTTAGTGAGACCCTGTCTCAAAAAAAAAAAAAAAAAAAGGGTGGGAGTGTAGCTCAGTGTGAAAGCCCTGGGTTCAATGCCCAGTACCAAAAAAAAGCATCGGTGAGGATGGGGCTGTGTGATCCCAGAGAAAAAGTTGGAGCTCGAAGAAGCAAGGAGGGACCCTTCCCTAGAGCTTCCAACACTTTGAACTTCTCACTTTCTCTGAGACAATGGACTCATTTTAGGCTGTCAAGTTTGTGGCACTGTATTACAATAGCCACAAAAGAAACTAATATGCCCCAAGTGCCCCAAAAGCCCTCTCTGCCATCTTTGGCCTTTGCTTCCTTGTCATCTTCTTAGGGAGACTTCATGACAACCTCAAGGTGACAATTTAGGCTGCCACCCCTCCCACCTCATTCCCTGGCCACCTCCTGCTTAGAGTCACCCTCATGTAGGTCCTCCCTGTCTCCACATGGACAGATCATTGCCTTTTAGAAGAAACCTACAAGATGGACATCCCACTTTCATACTCAAGAAGGCCTGGAGAGGTGAAATAACTTATCCAGTGTGACACAGCAAAGGAGGGTGAGGTTGGGACTCTAAGGTGCCCGGGCTGAGCGTGACCTGTCCCACCTAGGGTGGCCACTGCACTGTCTGTGCCGAGCTGAACCCACGATCTTCAGTTGAACCTTTCCTCTGGCTCTGGAGTGACCCAGAAAAGACTTTCCCCGAGTCTACCCCCTCTTCAGAGGAAACACCACCCACCTCATAATCTTGCAGCGACTCTTATAATCATCAGAGGGCTGGCCTGGACCCCAGGCCTCTGGAATAAAGGAACAAAGGTGTGAAAGAACAACAGATGTGCTCACTGCAGTATGGTCACAGTTTCCCTCCTGGCCTCTGAGAGGGCTCTGTGCAGAGGGTGACTGTACAGCAGCCTGAACACTGTCCTCCCTGAGCTGCCAGCAGCAAATTGCTTGCCCCCACTTGTAGGAAGGAGAATTCTGGACCTGAAGCAGTGGCCTGACAACGCCCCTACCAAGTTCCCATTTTGCTCAGCTGTAAATCAGGACCGTGTGTTATCTGGGTGTGAGAGGGAGAGTGTACTTGGCCGGGCGGGACAATGGGTGGCATTTAGTGGCATGTAGTCTCTCACTTGGGGCACGTGGGGTAAAATAATAGAGGAGGCTCCGGGTGGGGCTCAGTGCTAGGGTGTACAAGGTCCTAGGATTGAAACACACACACACAGCCTGCAGCAACTATAGGCGTTGAAGTCTGCAGGTTCCTAAAGATCTGAACATAAGGGACAAGAGGCTATGGCCCTTTTCAACTTAACAGGAGAACCAAAAATCTTTAGCTCAAAGCAGCAGGGGACCCCAGGGTGCCTCCATGGTTTAAGGGTTTTGTAAAGCCCACCCAGCTCCTCCTTGGAAGCACACCTGAAATCCCCCTCATGTTCATTTGCCTGGAACCAATCTCTCTCCCTGGGCCCAGGAAGACAGGGCCCTTCCCGTTTAGATGGTGGGCACCTGTATGTCCATGCCTCCCACCACCACTGGCAAGGTACCCAAGTTCCTGCAGCCTCAGTCAATTTTTTTTTTTTTTGGTACCAGGGATCGAACTCAGGACCTTGAGTTAATTTTCTTTTGTTATTTACTTATTTAGCAGTACTAGGGACTGAAACCATTAGCCATACTCCCTCTTTCGCTTTGCCTACCCTGGCCACTTCTCAGAAACAGAACCATACAATATGTGCCCTTTTCTCTCTGGCTCTTCTCACTAAGATTGGAGCCCAGTCTCACCTTGCCCAAGCTCAGTCCTTCCTGGAGGATCCTCGCCTCTCCCGTGTGCCACCTGTACTGTTTCTCTCATCAGGGTCTCCTCACCGCAGCACTACTGCTCTTTTGTCCTGTGCATTGCAGGACATTTAACAGGAAATGTTGTAGTTCATATCTAGCTGTCCCCTAAAACCTCGTGCTCATAGGTAGGGGTTTAGGGAGGTGACTGGATCATGAGGGTGTGATACTCATCAATGGATTAGTCCACTGATGGGTTTATAGCTAAATGTGATGTTGGGAGAGGAGCCCTGTTGGGAGGTGGTCACTGGGGGTGTGGCCTGGAAGGGTCTGTCTCCTTCCTTGATCACTCTGCTTCCTGCTGCCACGCCATGAGCAAGCCTCTTCTGCCATGCTGCCCTTCCTTGGAGCCAGCTGTCTGTGGATGGAAACCTCTACCAACTGTGAGCCCAAATAAAACTCTCCTCTTACAGTTGTGGATGTCAAGTATTTGTGTCTCAGCAATGAGAAGGTAAGACAACATCCCTGGCCTTGATCCATGGGTACTGGCACTCTCCCCCATCCCCTAACTGGGAAAACCCAAAATATCTCCAGACATTGTAAAATGTCACCAAATTCAGAACCACTGACCTACATCAACTCACCTGTTTTTATTTAGATCCACCTATCGATAGAGAAACTTGACAGCATCACTCAAAATATAAAACCAGCATCACATAAGCACCAGGAAGGACTATAGTGGTTGAAGTATGTGTGATGTAAAGGCAGAGGCACTGGGGCTGAGGCCTGCCCTTGCTCTGCACAAAAGAGAAGGACCCTCTATAAAAGTGTCTCACCCCCCACTGCCTCCTTAGGGACTGTATTAATTTCCTGTTTGTTGCTATAACAAATTACCACAAATGTGGAAGAAACCTATCAGAGGCTGATCAATCTTCCAACTGCCTAGAAAGGAGGAGGCCAAGGGCTAAAAACAAACAAACAAACAAAAGACAATAGAGACTTGCATAATTTCAAGTATGTGAGGGCCAGGAGGTCAGTGCCTCAGAGCGGGCAAAGACAAAGACACTCCGAGCAGCCACTATTTATTAGGCTGGTTCATAGGGAGCATCGGAGGACTTGCAGGGCATTGATAATCCTGAGTTCAGAGGATCTTATGGGGATGTAATCTTGCCCTTGAGGCCTCAGAATGGCTCCTAATCGACACCAACACAAATTTTCTGTGTGTGGGTCTGTGTGTGTACAGTAGTACTGGCAACTAAAACCAGGGTTGCTCTACTACTGAACTACCTCCTGAGCCCTTTTTATTCTTTACTTTTGAAACAGGGTCTCAGAGTGACCTGAAACTGAAGGCCCCTGCCTCAGCCTCCCAGGTAGCTGGGATTACAGGTGTGTGTCACCACACTCCTGGCTGACACACATTATCTGGTAGTTTAGAGGTCAAATTCAAAAATGAGTCCAGGACCAACTGTGAGAGGACAAAAACCCAAGTTTGGGTTTTTCCAAGACCAAGATGGTCTCCAGCCACCCTGCCCACTAAGCTAGTTGCCTTCAGCTCTTACTGAAATCCCTTGCTTTATCTCTCCCCTTTTAATAGTTTTCACGATTCTTGAGGTAGGGCTGTGAGTGATCAGTAGTAGAACCCTGAAGTTGGATCCCCGGCACATCTTCCCCCCAATAAAAGGAAATAAAAACATGTGTTTTTTTATGGGACTGGAAACTGAACCCAAGGTTCTCCAACTTAGCTACATGTTAGCTCTTTTTTATTTTTTATTTTAAGACAAGATCTTGCTAAATCCCTAAATTGCCCAGCCAAGGCTCAAACTCTCCAACGCTTGGATTTAGCCACTCAGGATGCGGGAATTACAGGGGTGCGCCACCTAGTGGAGAAAGGCTGGGAATGGTGCGACGGTTCCATCCGCCTTCGAAATCTAACTGGTCACATGTCCTATCAATCATTCTTTTTTTTTTTTTTTGGTGCCGGGGATGAACACGGGTCCTTGCGCTTGCGCAGCAGGCGGCGAAACCACTGAGCTAAATCCCCGGCCCCTATCAATCATTCTTTTAAAAAAATTTTTTTAAATTTTTTTCTTTTTTATGGTACCGGGGGATCGAACTCGGGTTCTGGAGTTTGCGAGGCAGGCGGCGGCACTACTGAGCTAAATCCCCGGCCTACCCATCATTCTACTGGCCAATCGCCCGCTTAGAAGAGCATGCCCTTCCCCGCGCCAATTCCTTGACAACGACGCAGGCTTGCGCATCTGACTGTTGCTATGACTCTGTTGTCATGACAACCGGGAGTTTTCCGTGGGCTTTCCGGACGCAGTTGAACTACGTTTCCCAGGGGTCCCAGCGCGACTCTCGCGGGCCCTCGCGGTGGGGCCCAGCCCTCAGCGCCCAGGCCGCCGGGAAGCGAGGGAGGGAGGCTCCGCAGGGCGTGTGGAAAGTGGCTTTCTGCGTGGACCTGGAACCCCGCTCTTCTAGGCGGGGACCCTCGGGGTGTCCAGCGAGGCCGGCAGCCCGCGTCCCCTCTCCACCCGAGCCGCGGTCGGAAAGGCGTGAAACAGCACACTTCCGGCGGGCCCACGCTGCGTAAGGAAGTCCGCGAGCCCGGTCCTTTGCCGAGTCCGGGCTCCTGGAGAGGTGAGCCCCGCGAGCTCCCGGGTGCCCTTCGCCTCAGCCCCGGCACAGCTCTGGCCCCACGCCCTCTGGCCCTGCCCCGCGGTGGCTGCTGCGCGTCCGGCCCCGGCGCCGCAGCCTTGGGCCCCGTAGGACAGCGGCGTCGCGGTGCGTGGGGCTGCGGCAGTGCTCAGAGCCGGAGCCGGGAGTGGGCCTTCGTGGGCCTTCGAGGGCCGGCACTCACAGACGTCCTCGCCCTGCCGCCTCCAGGTCAAGGCCTCCTCTTGGCGGTGGAGGCCAAGCCCTTCCCGGGACACGGCTCCTCCCGACTGTTCAGCTAGGGTGGTTCAGGTGCTAAGGGGTCGTCTGTTCCCACCGCCAGGGCCAGGGGAGCCTCCCACCCGCTCTGTTCTATCCAGGGTCCTGGACCGGTCTCCAGGCTCTTGTGGCTGACGACCACAAGCTGGATGGCGTAGAACAGAAATTTATTTTCACAGGTCTGATTGGGCCCGGCGGCGCACACCTGTAATCCAGCAGCCGGGGCGGCTGAGGGCAGGGGGATCGCCAAGGGTTCAAGACCAGCCTGAGCTACATAGTGAGGTCCTGTCTCAGAACACCAAACAAACGAACAAAGAACCAAAGTTCAAGTCCAGCTTGGACAGCTTACTACTTAGTGAGACCCTGTCTCTAAAGCAGTGTGTGTGTGTGCGTGCGTGTGTGTGTGTGGTAGACAAAGTGTTGGCCCTGCTGTGTGTGTTGAAGCTCACACACCTCAGGAGGAGGTCGGGATCTTTGCCTCTGTGAGCACTAGTGGCTCCAGGTTTTCCTTGGAATGTAGCTGCATCTCTCCAGGCTGGCCTCTGATTTCACATGTCCTCTTTTGTCAGAATTCTCAGCTTCCTCTCACAAGGACGCTTGCCAGGCATGGTGGTGGATACCTGTAATCCTAGCATTGGGAGGCTGAGGCAGGAGGAGCACAAGTTGGAAGCCAGCCTCAGCTACATAGTGAGTTCATAGTGAGTTTTGGACTACAAAACAAGGCCCTGTCTCAAAACAAAAAAAGCTGTTTTTGGACTTAGGATCCACTTGTGTAGCAGACACCTCTGCCCAGTATTAGCAGGCTGTAGTGGCACAAGCTCCTTGGCCCTCCATCACTGGGCTGTGTTACATTGGAAGTAGCAGAGCTTGGCTGAGTTCACTCCCAGTCAAGGTCAGCTGACTCCAGCTAAATTCTTCCCTCTGAATTAACTGTTTGTTCTGTTCAGCACAGATATGCTGGGCCCTCATTCTACAGTCCTCCTCCTTGACACTTGTCATCAGCAGGTGTCCCGAGGCCTGGCCAGCTTCCCCCTGCCCCACACTTGTGATGAGTAAACAGTGGACATCCTGGGAGTCCTTTCTCTTTGCTGCCCGGAGCAGCTTGGATCAGCCTGAGACTCAGTGTCTCTCAAGTCTCTGTCTGTGTGTTTATTCTAATTCCCACTTAGCTATCTTGAGGTCATTGGACTGGGTTGCAGGAGGCCAGTAGCACTGCAGGGCTAACCCGATACACTTGGATTATTCCGGATGATCCACTGTCAAGATGCCTACATCTGCAAAGAACCCTTCGCTAAATAAATAAAGTCTCATACATTCTGGAATGTGTCTTTTTTCTTCTTTTTTGGAGACAGGGTCTTGCTGCACAGTTGGCTTCATATTTGTGATCCTCCTGCCTCAGCCTGTCAAGTGCTGAGATTACAGGTGTGTGGTGCCACCACATCTAGCCAAGAATGTATCTTTGTTGTGGGACCTACCTGCTTCATCCCGGGGTTCCCCCCCAGCCACAGATGGCACGGATCAGTGGCTGTCCTTGCCATGGCCTGTGTGGCTGAAGAGCCCACAGAGGGAGAATGGTGGGGGATGAAGAAAAGACAGAAAAAGCTGAGGCCAGGTGGAGCCTTTCTCCTGATGGGAGAACAGGGCTGCCTGGTAACAGCAGCACTTGTATTTATAGTGGTAGGTAAGGGAAGTGCAAGGGGAGGTGAAGGAGCTGGTTTGGAACTGGAACAGGGAGAGGGGTTAATCTGCAGGGCTTCACCCTTGATAGTTTCATGGGGAAGGGATGGGCAGGAAGCATGTCCTCTTCTCGGTTGGGCCTTGTTCCACCAGGCCATCTCGTCACCTGTTCTCTCACGGGGCCCTTCCTCTGTGGGGCGGAATGAACAAGATGCATGTTCCTCATTCCACACCGGTTCCTGCTTCATCTGCAGGAGGAGGCGAGTTAGGCCCAGCCATAGTGATCTACAGCCCAGTGTTCCCAGCATGTCCTGGTGGTCAGTCTGCCCCTGAAGTCCTCCACCCTAGGGGGTTGTCAGGCTTAAGAGTCCTGGAGGTGCCAGAAGTTGTGGTGGGCACAGGCCCAGGGCTCTGCTCTTTTTTCATCATGCACACTGGAGCATGAGAACAGCAGCTCCACCTGGCACTGCAGCCTGGTGTATGGGAGACCAGGACTCTAGCTTGGAGCTGGAGCTCAGCAGCAACAGGACAGAAGCCGGAGCTGCAGCCCTGCTCTTAAGAGGGGATAGACGCCTCTGGAGATCCAGGAGTGTGGGAACCCACCGGCTTCCTGCAGGGTTTGTCTTGGAGGCAAAGTGAGGACTCTGGAGACCTTAGTGCCCAGAGGAGAGGCTGCCTGCCCCAGATCCTACCCGACATGGAACCTGGCCACTCCAGCTTGCTCCTGAAGGGAACATGGAAAATGCCAGCCCCTTCATTAAAGCTCACTGTGTGCAATGGGGCATGGTGACACATACCTGTGAGCCCCAAGCTCCTAGGTCTGAGGAGGCAAGAGGATCATAAGTTTAAGTCCAGCTTGGGGAACTTAGGGAGACCCCTCTCAAAATATAAAAAGCGGCTGAGGATGTCACTCAGTCCAGAGGTGCTGGGTTTGATCCTCAGTTCTACCACCAAAGCAAAGCAAACCCGTCTCACTATGTGCACGCAGCGCCTGCACTCCCTCCCTCATTCTGCTGGCAGGGAAAGCAGCAGGGACCCTGGATGTGGAGGCCTGTGGAGCCTCAGCAAAGTCTTCCTCCGCAGAGCCTGTGAGCACTGATTGATGTGTCCTCTGGTAGATGAGGGAGGGGGAGTGACTACTGGGGTGGGCCGGAATGTGTGGGAGACGGTTTGACCCAGAGGGGTCTTCCACAGCTCCCTGCTAGGGGGATCAGAGACCCTGGGTGACCCATGGCTGTGAGCTCACCCTTTGGTGTCACTGATCCCACCCACGCCCTGGGTCTTGTAAAGCTGGCCCCGGGAGGACTGAAGCAGAAGAACATGTTTCCTGGGTGTAAGGGCCAGTGTAGGGACCAGGGAAAGGGGCGTTACTAGGACCTCTGTAGTGAGTCCTAGTCTCCTGTGAGCCCTGGCAGCACAAGGCGAATTAACTTATTAGACAGGAAAGTAGAAAAAATGAGACTTGGAGAAGAAGCCAAGCTTGGGTCTGATCAGTGCTGCTCTGGGCGGCAAAGGCAAAAGCCCCAGAGCTTGGGGCACCTTTATTCAGTCCATCGGGAGAAACAAATGTAACAGAAGACTGGAGAGCTGCGGAATTCCTAGATCAGTGAGGAACTATGCAGATGAAGATTTAGTTCCTCCCGGGATGTCTTCAGCTGCTGTAATCTGGTCCTGGAGCCTCACAGCATCACCGGACCATTGAGGTCTCAGTTGTGACCGGAGGCCAAAACGGAATTATCTCTCAGAATGCCATAGCTGGCCTGTAGGAGGAGAACGAGGCTGACCAAATGAATTTCCCCCCAAATTATGTAGCATTGCTCCTGACAGGCCAGATCTAAAGCACACTCCTGTCTTGCTGCTGTTTTCAAGACATGTCCTCTAGCTCCTGGGCTCCAGCAGTCTCCTGCCTGAGGCTCCCCAGTGCTGGGACTACAGGCACATGTCACTGTGTCCAGCTCAGGAGGGCTTCAGAATGTCGAAACATCAGACATGCAGAAAATAAAAATAACACAGCTGGCTCCCTGGCCGTCCATCCTGCCTGTAGTATACCGTTGTACACTGGTTTCTTGAACTCTTGGCAAGGTCTGTATTTTGGGGGCTCCTTCTAATCCCTTAGGAACATCACCAAGGTCGTGGGTAGGCAGCTTCCTTGCCACCAACTGCCATAGGCCCTGTGGGAGAATAGGGCCCTTTCTGAGCACACAGGGTCTGTACCAGAGCATTGTCTTGAGGCCTATAAATTTCACCAAAATAAAGTTTTTGAAACAGGGATGTTGCTGGGTGTGGTAGTGCATGCCTGTAGCCCTGGCACTTGGGAGGCTGAGGCAGGAGTTCAAAGCCAGCCTGAACTACATAATGAGACCCTGCCTCAAAAAACCAAAAACCAAAACCAAAACCAGAAAACAGGGATGTTTACCATCGTGCGATTTTCTGTGGGTGCGGTGGGGAGTTCTGGATGAGCTGATGGCAGCACAGGGCAGCCGTGACTGGAGCAGAGGGTCAGACTGGAACAGTCCTTCCGTGGCAGCCCCTGGCTGACCCCTGGCCCGGCCCAGGGTGTGTGGGTTGGGCTCACAAGGCAGAGGCCAGAACCCGGGTCCTGTGAGGGAGCAGCGCCCTGGCCTGTCAGGACCGCGTGGTGCCGACATCCAGGGCTGGGAACAGGGCTGGCAGTGAGAAGCTCCTGTCCCACCAGGCAGATCCAAGGTTGCGCAAGCATTTCCTGTCCCCAGGCAGGGCCGGAGGTCAGAGGCCTTGCAGAGGTGGCTGACCCTTTTGTCCATCATGCCAGCGGGAGGGAGGTTGTCCTGGCACCAGGCCGGTCCATGTGGGGAGAGCCCTGCCGACGCCTTCCCGGAGTTCAGGGGCGAAGATGTGGGGGTGCGTGGGGTGGGGTTCCCTGAGCCTTCCTGGGGCAGAGATAGGCCTCGCTCTCTGCTGGATCCCACCAGCAGAGCCTGGGGAAGGCTGTGGCCCTGAGCATCCCCACCAGGAGCCCGCGCACTCAGTGTGAGCACAGGTCTGGGCTGAGTGTCCTAAGCGCTGCTGGGACTCCATGTAGGTCTTTCCACAGTCCACGTAGCTGCGGGAAATCCCAACAGGGTCCCCACAGGGAATGTGGAGTGACGGGGGTGCTGCGTGAGGGTGAGATTCAAGTATCCTCCTCCCTCTTCTGATGCAGGGGTATGAACCTAGGGCCCTGCACACACTAGGCAAGCAATCCACCTCTCAGCCACATCCTCAACTCTTTGTGGATTTCATTTTGACACAGGATCTTGCTAAGTTGCCCAGGCTGGGCTCAAATTTGCCATTCTCCTGCATCAGCATCCCAAGTAGCTGCGAAGACAGGCATATGCCACCTCTCTTTTTTCATTATGTTCTATTAATTTAGTGTGTTAATGATCCATTATTATTGATTACCATTCCTGCTGAGTCTCCCAAACTGGGCTGGCAGGTTCACCCTTTGTCCCCGTGTCACTGCTGCCTCCAGTGTCCGGGAAGGATAAACAGGGGAGGTCAGTGTCTCAGGTTGCCTGCCCTACAGACAGTACCCAGGCACCAGCCACAGTGGAGCGAGGGTTGGCGCCATGGCTGCTCCTGTGGGCTTCCTGCTGCTCTGGGGTGAGACATCCGGGGTGCTCCTGGGGCAGCAGTGTGGCCAGGGCCTCACCATTGACACTGTCTCCACAGGTCTCACCCTGGGCCCAGCGAGCGAGGCGGCCACAAGTGAGTCCAGGGCCGGGCCCAGGGCCAGGGAAGGCCGGGTCCCCGCCGCTTCGCTCCGAGCTGACCCCCGGTTCCTTCATCCACAGTGGTTGAAACCTGGCCCAGCCTCTGGGCAGAGTCGGCCTTGCCGCTGAAGCCCTGGGCCCAGCTGCAGCTGACCTGCCGCGCGCGCCTGGCGACCCTGGAGTTCCAGCTGCTCAAGGACGGGGTGGCCCTGGAGCACGTGCGCCTTGACTTCCCCGCCATTGCCCACCAGTTTGTGCTGGGTGAGGTGACCAGGGACAACCGGGGCCTCTACCACTGCCGCGCCGGTCTGGGTTCGGGGTGGACCCAGCTGAGCGGCCTCGTGGAGGTGACGGGCACAGGTGAGCAAGGCAACGGGGGGCCGCCCTCGCATGGCCCAGCACCCTAGCCTCAGTTTCCCCATCTATCCGATGGGGCCGGGTGCACCACGTGCCCCGTGCCCGTCTCCTGCCCCGCCCATGTTGAGCATGGCGTCCAGCTCGGCCAAGCCACCCTCCTGAGCCTGCCCCTCCGCAGAGCCCTTGCCCCCGCCCCGGCTCTCGGCTGAGCCGGTGTCCTGGATAACACCCGGCCTGAACTCCACCCTGCGGTGCCGTGCGGCCTGGCACAGTGCGACCTTCCTGCTAAGGCGAGAAGGTGACCAGGCATCTCCTGTGGTGGCCGAGGGCGGAGAGGACGGAGAAGCCACTTTCCCGGTCCACCGGGCTGGCAACTACAGCTGCAGCTACCAGACCCATGCTGCGGGGAGCCTCTCTGTGCCCAGCGACACGGTGACCATCGAGGAGCTAGGTGAGTGCAGAGGCTCCCCGAGGAGGGGAGGAAGGGCCTGGACCAGGCCTGGCTGCGGCTGCCCCTCTCTGGACCGGTCGCAGTGCCTGCCCTGGGCTCCGTCCCAGCCGCCGCCCTGTCCCCATCTCGCAGCCGTGCCCCCGCCGCCGGCGCTGGAGTTCAGGGGCGAGGACGCGAGGGTTCTGCGCCCCGGCGAGCGCGCATCCTTGCAGTGTGTGGCGCCCGTGAGCAGCGCGGACTTCGAGCTGCGGCGGCGCGGGGAGGCCCTGCGGGTGCCCATGAGCAGCACCAGCCCCGACCGCGTCTTTCTTGGCCTGAACTGGGCCGAGGCCGACGGCGGCCCCTATACCTGCCGCTACCGGCCTCTCCGCGCGGAAGTGGCCTGGTCGGCTGACAGCGCGCCTGTGCAGCTGGTGCGCAGCGACGGTGAGCTGCGGCGGGGCCGGAACTGGGACCCCCCTGCCTCGGCCTCCCGGCCTGGCTCCGTAGATGAGCAGGTTCCGAAGCGTCGGGCAAGTCCCGCGCCCCGCGCCCGCTCAGGCCCCTCTCCCGCAGGGTCGCTACCTGCGCCCGACCTCAGTGCCGACCCTGCCGGCCCGCGCCCCGTGCCCGGCTCCCTACTGCGCCTGCGCTGCCGCACGCCCAGGCTCGGGCTGCTCGTGGCGCTGGAGCGCGAGGACGCGCGTGGGCGCCGGCTGCTGGCCCTGCTGCGGCCTGCTCATGCCGAGGCGGAGTTCGAGCTGCGCGACGTCTCTGTGGCGGACTCGGCCAATTACAGCTGCATCTACGTGGACCCTGAGCTTCCCTTCGTGGGCTCCGCGCCCAGCGCTCGCCTGCAGCTGCGGGTGGACGGTGAGCGGGGCAGGGCTGCCTGCGCTTCCGGGAGGCTGAGGCAAGAGGGTCGTAGGTTGGAGCCAAACCTAGGCAGCTTAGGTCTGGAGTTAAAAATAAACAAGGGCTGGGGATGCAGCTCTGGGCGAAGGCCCTGGGTTCCTGCCCCAGGACCGCACGCACACGCGCACAGCATGGGGCTGGGCTCAGGTTATCCTGTTTAAATCCCTGACGGCTTTTCGCCAGCCGGTGCTTCAGTTCCCCTGTGCTGTACGTGTGTCCGCGTGGTCGTACTGCGGCCCTGGCCCCACCCTCGCGCGTTAACGTGTTTTCACATACCGGGGATCACGTCCTGGCCCAAGCGGCGCGCGCCTCGGCGGCCTCCGGACGTGGTGCAGTGCCCAGCCCTGCACGCCGTTCCTTGGTGGGCTCTTACACCCGATGTCCATGGAGGCCTGCAGGTGACCCCGTCCCACCCTGCCCAGGGCCTCCGCCCGCGCCGCGGCTCCGGGTCTTGGGGCCGCCGGTGACCCCGGGCCGCGACGCCGTCCTGCGCTGTGAGGGCTCCGTGCCCGGCGTGGTCTTCGAGCTGCTGCGTGCGGGCGAGGAGGAGGCCGTGGTGAGCGCCAGCTCCGCGAGCGCCGCTGCCGACCTGGTGCTGACCGCCGCTGGGTCCGGGCATGCGGGCAACTACAGCTGTCGCTACCGCGCATGGGGACCCGTGGCCTTCGAGTCGCCTTGGAGTGACCCGGTGGAGCTCCAGGTGGCAGGTGAGGGTTTGCCTTTCTAGGCCCGAGCAGTACTGGCCCATGCAGGACGGAGGTGGGGTCGTGGGCGCCTGTGGACCAAGCCCCTTCCTGTGGGGTCCCCGGGGGGAGAAGGCCCAGGACCCCCCCGCACTCCTCTTGTCTCATTTGTCTAGGAAGCTGAGCCGCCCGTGACCCAGGGTGTGTGGTACCCTTGGGAAACGTGGGCTTTCCGGTTCCCCCTTCCTCCCAGGAGTCAATAAACGCCGGCAAAGACTGTTCAAATGTGTCTTCCGTCGGGGCAGAGCCTGGCTGAGGCCCTGTCCTGAGAGTGGGGCCCCTGTGTCAGGCAGAGGGCTGGCTCCTCGGACCCCTTATGCAGACCCTTCCCCCAAGCCCCTCAAGCTTCGTCTCACTCCCTGTCCAGTCCTCAGCAAGCTGGGGGGAGCTGCGGCCCCCACCTCATCAGCTCCCACACCAGGGGGGTCAGGCTGCAGGAGGTGGGGGTGCAGCTGGGCCAGGTCTCCCCACTGGAGCCTGGCGTTGTGGAAGGGCCGGGCCGCCTCAGCTTTGTGTCTACCTGCTCCTTGAGGTCCCTGCACGCCACATGTGTGTCAGCACTGCCAACCAATAGGCAACAAAGTGTTTTTCAAGGTTATGGGATTAATTGAACCTAGGGCCTTCACTCTGAGCTGCATTCCCAGTCCTATTTTATGTTATTTTGAGATGTCTGGCTGAGTCACTAAATTGCCTAGACTGCGCCAGAATTGCCAGTGCTCTGGTCTCAGCCTCCCAGAGTGCTAGGAGTACGTGCACCACCATGCCTGGCTAATACTCCTGTATTTGTTTAATGTCCTCCAAGTCTATAATGATGCCACCTCTTCAATGCATGATTCTAGGATATCCCTCCTCATTGCTATCAGTTTTAAAAATCTTTTCCAAGCACTAGGTTTGGCTATGTTCATTTTTTTCCCATTGCCTGTTTTCTGTTCTGTAGGTCTGTGTTCGTATCAATCATTCCTTTTCTTCTATTTACTTCTGATTTAATTTTCCAGGGCCTGTAGTTTCCTTTTTCATAGTGTTTCACTTAGAGATGTAGATCAGTAGTAGAGTGCATGCTTAGCAGATGCAGGGCCCTGGGCTCCCCAGCACCTCAAAAATGAAGAAAAATCCTACTTTTTGGAGAACATTTAAAATTATAAATTCAACTTCTTTAACTGATATAATTGATACAGGCTCGTTTAGGTTTTTCACTTTTCCTTTGGTTAATTTTAGTAGTTTCTGGCTTTCAGGGAGACAATGGACTTCATCTAGGTTGTTGGTTTTAATTGTATAGGGATGTTCAATGTTTCCATCTAAATGTCTGTGTAGTGTTACAGCCTGTTTCATTCTTGGTACAGGCTGAGTACCCCTTATCCAAAATGCTTGGCACCAGATATGGCCTTGGATTTCAGATTTTGGAACATGTGCATAATGAGGTATCATGGGGAGGGGACCCAAGTCTGAGTGTGGAATTCACTTATGCTTCCCATGAGCCTCATAAATACAGCCCAAAGCTGGTCTTACGCTTTGGGCTTTGGTATTTTTAGGGTCCCAGCATTTTTCTTTTTTGGTACTGGGGATTGAACTAGGGTCCTTGCGCTTGCGCAGCAGGTGGCTGAGCTAAATCCCTGGCCCTGGTCCCTGCATTTTGATTGCAACTCATCATAGGAGGTAAGAAATAGAATCTTCAGAAAGTCAAATATTTTGGAGCATTTCAGATTTCAGAGTTTGGAATGCTCAACCTGTAATTTGTTCCTCCTCACTTTTTACATTTTTGAGATAGGGTGTTGCTATGTAGTTCAGGCTGGCCTTGAACTCAGGGCAATCCTGCCTCAGCCTCCCAAGTGTTGGGATCACAGGCACACATCACCATGCCCATTTTCCTTCTCACTTTTAAAATATCAGTCTGGAAAGAGGTCTATCAATATTTAGCTTTTTAAAGAACCAGTTTTGGGGTTAGTCTTACTGTTTTATTACCTTTTTTCCTATTATCTCATCATCTCTATCAATTTTTATTTTTGGTGTGTATAACGGGATTGGACCTGGGGCTTTTACACTGAGCCACATTTTGAGACATGGCCTCACTGAGTTGTTCAGGCTGGGGTCAAACTTGCAGTCCTGCTGCCTGGGTCTCCCAAGTGCTGGGATAGCAGGTATGCCATCATGCCTGGTTTATAATGCCCCGCTTTATTGCTGGTTATTTCCTTTGTTCTGTAGTCTACTTGGTATGATGTTTTCTTTAGTTTTGTTTTTTTTTTTTGGTACTGGGGATTGAACTCGGGACTTTGCACTTGCGAAGCAGGGTGTGGAACCAGTGGGCTAAATCTCTGGCCTGACTTGGTATGATGTTAACATAGCCACCTCAGCATTCTTTCATTGGCTTTTCTCTTGTACTGTGTATCTTTCCCTATTGTTTTTGTTTGTTTGTTTGAGACAGGGTCTCACTATGTTGCCCAGGCTGACCTCAAACTCAGGGTATTCCTCCTGCCTCAGCCTCCCAAGTGCTGGGATTACAAGAATGTGCCACCACATCAACCTTGAAGAGTTGTTTTTTTTTTTTTTGGTACCAGAGATCGAACTCAGGACCTTGCTCTTGCACAGCAGGTGCTGGAACCACTGAGCTAAATCCCCGGCCTTGAAGGATATTTTAACTGATGTAGAATTCTAGGCTGGCAGTATTTTTTTTCTTCCAAGAATTTAAAATGTTTTTTCTTTGCTTTCCTGGATCCAGGGTTTCTAATAAGAAACCTATGATCTTTTATTTTGTCCACTTAATGTAATGCACTGTTTCTCTTGGGCTGTTTTCAAAGTTTTAAAATTTGTTTTAGTTTTCAGCAGGTTATGATGTGTCTGAGCATGGAGTTGAGATTACGCTGTTTTTAGGCTCATTGAGCTTTCTGAACCTGTTTTACATCTTTTGCCAAATTTAAGCTTCCAGACATTTTCTTTCTTTCTTTCTTTCTTTCTTTCTTTCTTTCTTTCTTTCTTTCTTTCTTTTTTCAGTTAATTCCATTTATCATATATATTTATTGGTTATCAACAGTGCAAGTTTATGCTCCAAAGAAATATAACAATCCACTAAAATGATTACATTTAATTTTCTCTTAAAGGCAGATGAACTAAATTTAAGAACTGGCTCTTCTTCGTATTTCATTCTAAAATTACTGACACATATTTACCAGAGAAATACTTATACATCATTCTGCCCAACATCAGTTAGTTTCTGCAAGTTTCTAAGATAGATGCATTTCTTGTTCAATTTCCAAAAAATAAATGATAGTTCTCTAACTGAAAGCACTTATATTCCACAGCTCTAAGATAAACATTAAAAAGAAAATACAGGCTGGGGATTTATCTCAGTGGTTCCGGTGCCTGCCTCGCAAGCACAAGGTCCTGAGTTTGATCCCTGGTACCAAAAAAAAAAAGGAAATACAAAAAAATGACCTCTTGGCTTTTGAATAGCCCACTTCACATAAAGTATTTTCTGTCCCAATGCTTTCTCAATTTCAAAAGATATTTACTTCCTACAAACAATCTTCATTTCATACTGTCAGTCTGTTTCCATAGTAACACTGCGGGACGCCTTGGCTACCCTAAATCGCATCAGCTGACTGTGGAACTTCTCAATCTTCTTCACATCTTGAGCTTGATCTGTTCTGTACACCAAACAAACTAAATCATCTGTTACTTTAATACACAAATTCCCATCAGGGTGCCTATATTTGAGAACCACCCGTGCTTTCCTCGGGTCCGCAAGGTAGAGCTTCTCGGCCGCGCGGCTGAACTCCTCCCAGGTCTGGCACTGCGACATCTCGGCCTGGACGCGGGCTCTCGGCTGCCCGCCCACCAACCGCCGACAGCCCGAAGACGGCGGCGTCTCCGGTAACAACCCTCTCCCCTTTGGATGGGCAGGCCGCGCTCGACCAATAGGCGTGAGGGATGTTGCCGAGCCGAGCCGGGTGGCCATGCGGGCGGGTGCGGAGAGGTTGTGGACTTGTCTTTCTTTTGTGTGGTGCTGGGGTCAAACCCAGGGTGAATGCCCTACCACTGCACTACACTCCCAGCCTTCATTATTTCATTTTTTTTTCTGCTATCATCATAAAGAATAAGGTAGCATATCCGAGAACACGCAAGGTTTCATCAGTTTCTTATTGTGATTGTGTTCCATGAGGCTCTTATGACATGTCTGCTTTCAAATGAGCATTTTCCTAATGGACTGCTTCTTTTGTAACAATATAGTGACTACCAGGAGACTGGGGCAAGGGTCACTTGAGTCCAGGAGTTTGAGACTAGCTGAAGCAACACAGCAAGATTTTCTCTCGCTCTTTTTTTTTTTTTTTTTGTGCATGGGCTGAAGATTCTCTCTTGAAAAAGGAAAAAAGCTAGCTGGGTGTGATGGTGCAGGCCTGTAATCCCAGCACTCTGGGAAGCTAAGGCAGGAGCATCAGAAGTTCAAACCCAGCCAGGCAACTTAGTAAGACCTTTCCTCAAAATAAGAGAGCACACAAGCTCAAATACCACATGGTTTCTCTTATATGAAAATCTATATATAAAGTATGAAATAAAAGACAGACGATAGGAAAAAGAGGAAAAAAAGCCCTCCCTGATTTACAAGTCATAGTCACTTGTGAGTCCGACATGGATCTGTGAAAGTTCACAACTCAGATGTTCCTTAAGTAAATCAGGGACTTCCTGTTTGTAAGACAATGCATCTAAAAGTGCATTGAATGTATCTAAAAGTGTATCTTCACTTAGTACAATTGTTTTACATGTTTTCTATATTCTTTGGCCTATTAGTCTGGTTTTCAATCTGCATATATAATAACTTTATAAGGTTAATTATAAATAAATGAATAAGTGAACCTGATGCTGGAAGAATAAAAGGGGTGTGCAGGGAAGGGGGAAATAATTGAAATGTTTTATGTGCATGTACCAGTTCCCTACAGTGAATGTTAAAAAAGAAAAAGCAGGGGCCGGGGATTTAGCTCAGTGGTTCCGGCGCCTGCCTCGCAAGCACAAGGACCTGAGTTTGATCCCTGGTACCAAAAAAAAAGAAAAAGAAAAAGTGAAAAGGGCTGGAGATGTAGCCTAGTGTGAAGCCTGGGTTTGATCCCCAGCACCCCTGCAAATATATAATCTATAGACTGACCCTGTGACCCTTGTAATGCTTTCCTACTTCTTTTTCTCCACTGGCTTTCAGCAGCTTCATACTCACTTTGTATATGGTTTTCTATTTCTCTATCTTCAGTTTTACCCTATCTTTGTCTAAAGAACATGTGGCTGATGTAAGCGAAATTCAGTGGCTCGTACCGGTCTTCTGCGTTGATGTATGGTCCATTTATTGGAGCTCGTGTGTGCTTGGGGTGCTCACACCATGCTCTGGCCCTGGGCTGTGACCCTGCCCAGTCAGCTACTCCCTGACCTGCATCTCTGGCTCTTAAAACCGGGATGGTTGTACTGGCCCTGGTGCTGGGTTAGGAGCAAATGAGGCGGTCTGTACATTACTTGGCAGACTGGCTGTACCCTCTGGCTTGTCTTTCTCCCTTAGTCACCTCACAGCACAGTGGGTGGGGAGACACAGCATTGGGCATGGAGACTGAGTGCATGGGCAGCAAAGAGAAGGGAGCTGAAGGCCACAATCAGAGCTTTGCATGACGTAGGTCTCGTCTCTCTGCTTTATAGTTGAAGACATCACTGGGAGTCAGGGAAGTCATTGTCTGAGGCCCACAGCAGCCCTTGGGGTGTAGGCATCTGCAGCTGCTCCTGTTCCGAGGAGTCTGCAGCAGGCTTGTCACCATTTCATCAGCAATGTACACAGTCTCGAGTCCTCCCTGTCTTGGTCGGCTGTCTCAGCCTCTGCTGCACTGTGTGGCCAGCTCTGCCTGTGTCTGAGACTCAGTGATACGGAAGTGAGGTCTTGTCTCTCCAGGTCTCGCCTTCCTGTTTTGAACCTCTCCTCAGTCTGTCTCTGTCCACAATCCAGGGAGATAAGCAGAGGCTGAAGGTGATTGTGGCTGGTTCACCACCTGACAGAATGGTAGGGTTGTCAGAGCAGAGGTATGAAGACAGGCACCCTGACAGATGAGGCAGAAGCTGTGACATCAGCTACAGAATGGGCACTGGAAGAGGGACAGGACTGCAGAGCTGTGAGGGAAGAACAGGGAAGCTGGCAGAAAATGGGTAACCAGTGGGTCCAGGGCTCCAGCTTGGTCCTAGGAAGGGAAGACTTAGTACAGCTGCCATGTCAAGGCCATGGCCACCAGGCCCATTGGGCACTGGGGCTGTTGCCTTGTGTGGCCTATAGTGGGGCCACATAGATGTCAGTCCGTGTGAGGACAGAGGAGGCAGAGCAGGGTGTCTGCCCAGGGAAGGCAGCAGTCACACACAACCAGGACATCACATCCTGCACACTGCTGACAGAGACCGAGACCTGAGCTCTGGGGATCCCGCGGTGCCCTTGGGAAGCACAGAGTGCACTCTGGAGGAAGTAAAGTGCCGCAACTGCAGGTGTGAGAGAGATGTTCAGGGCACCCTGGGAGCAGAGGCCAGCTGAAGTCTGCTCAAGGAGGTGGGGAGGCTTCTCTGGAGAGGGCCATTTGGAGGAAAGAGGACAGCTACTCCGGCAGGTGGAGGAAGTTAGCTTCTTCAGGAACCAGAGTGGTTCCTCATGGCTGCTGTATGCAAGGTGGCCCAGTCATGAGCCAGTGGGAAGCCAGTAAGGGGTCTGGTCTGGCCCAGGGCAGCACTCGGAAACCACCTTCCCCACAATGCACACACACACTCGACTTGCGCACACCTCAGGACAGCTGAAGAGGCTGCACAGGGCTCATGGCAGAGTGTATCATGGCATCCTCTACCCTGTCAGGCTCTGCAGTAGATGGTGACACACGCAATGGAGACCCTGGAGGAAGAAGCTCCCTGCTATAGTGTAATGCTGGCAGGAGCCAACAAGGGCTCCTAGAGGGGTGGGAGGGAGTGGGGGATGGCTCAGAGATGCACCTCTCCACGACGGGTGTGGAAGGTGAGAGGGAGGTGGACAGCTGTTGGGCCCATGTCAAGCTGCACCACAGAAGCATGTGGCAAGAGTATGAAGGCACAGAGAGGGCTGGGTGGGTGTCCCTCTGGACCACGCAGCAGAGGAGCCAGTGGAGAAAAGGAGGCTGGAGTCTCCCTGCTGCAGCATCCCGGCCCGGGAGACCGGGTGGACAACTGCTTCCCTTGGACTGGCCTGAGAACCAGTCCAAACCCCGGCTCAGTGACTAGGCTGCATAGGGCAGGGAGGGCAGCAGGATCCTGTTGAGGCCTCCCTGGCAGGCTTGGGTAGGGGTTCTCAGAGCTCGAGTGCTGCCTGACCCCAGGCACCTGGTCAGTAACCATCCAGTTCTTGGCCCTTGGAACTCAGGGCCACAGGGCCACGGTCACTGCAGGATGGTGTGGATGCACAGGGCATGGTGAGGGCTGAGCTGCGGCTGAAGGGCTTCCCACAGCTGCTGCACTTGCAGGGCTTCTCCCCGGCGTGGGTCCTCTGATGCTCCATGAGGGAGGAGCTACATGTGAAGGCCTTGGGACACCATGCACACCTATAGGGCTTCTGCCCAGACTGGGTCCTCAGGTGCTGGATCAGGGCTGAGCAGTCCCTGAAGGGCCTCCCGCAGGCATCACACCAGTAGGGACACTGGTGCTGCGTGATGTGCAACATCTGGCTGAAGACCTTGCGTCACTCTTCACAGGTGTACAGCTGCTCCTCTGTATGCACGCACGCGTGCTGCGCGAGGTGGGTGATGTGGCTGAAGCCCTTGCTGCAGTCACCACAGGCACTCAGTGTCTTCCGGGAGTGGCTCTTCGTGTGGGCCTCAAGGGCTGCATCACTCTGAACATTCTCCAACACTGGCCACACCCAGAGGCCTTTTTCCCAAAGGAGGCATAGGGAGGCCCTGTCCCATGATGATCCAAGGGACAGAATCTGTCCTCTAAGGAGGCTGCTGCTGGGAGGCAAGGATTGGCTATGTGCCTGAACTGTTTCCTGAGGCAGCAAACTCGAGGGTGGGCCAGTCTTGGAGGCATCCTGCTGAGGCCCCAGAGGTTCCCTGAAATCCATCTGCTGGATGACAGACTGTGCCTGGATCTCCTGCAGGATAGCCTCAGGCTCACCTGTGGTGGCAAAGGCGGGTGCTAGGGCAGCCTGTCCCATGAAGGAGTCCATGTCTGTGGCCACATCCAACCGCCCTGGCTCTTTCACGTGGCTCTGCTTGAAGCCCATCTCAGCAAGGTCTGTGCCTGTCTCCCACTCTGAAACAATTGCAGATGTGGTGTCGCCACTCTTGCCACACCAGGCCAGGCCCCTCTCTCTGTAAGGAGGGACGTGGGCCACCCCTGAGACAGCCTCATTTCCAAAGGGAAGTTTCTGACTGGGTATCTTGGACAACAGAAGGGTGTGGGCTGTCCTCCCACAGTGCCAAGCTGCATCACAGGTTCCGAAGTTTCCCTTGGTCCTGTAAGGCTCTTGTGCTTGGCCTAAGTGTTGGCAGGACAAACCCTCTGGTGAGACTGATCCAGGGGAGCAAGAGGGAGTCTTGGACTCTGCTGGCTCTGCCCCCCTGGCCAGGGACCCAGCTCTGGGAGGGTGGCACTGTCCTTTACACTCAGCACCTGCCTCTGGGCCCAGTGAGTACTGGGGGAACAAGGGAATTGCTCCAGATGCCTGTGCTGGTGAAATCTGTCGCCACAGAAGCCCAGTAGACACCTGCTGATGGGAAGGGCGGGTGAGCTACCCAGGCGGCCTCTTCGGAGGCCCCAAGACCACGCTGTGTGAAGCACTGTGAAGGTGGAGCATGGCTGAGGGGAAGCTGGACATGGGGTCTGGGTGCACAGAGCAGCTGAGGACATGTGATCTGGCTACACAGTGGATGCCAGGAGGGTGTAGGAGAGGAAGGGAAGTTGTCCCAAAGCCAGGGTCCAACCACCAGGCTATGCTGTGGATCTTGGCACAATCCTGCCTTTGTGCCTATTGTTCCATCTGTAAGACGTGATACCACTCGACTTCTTGGGCTCTTATCAGACTCCTGCTGAACGCCAGACTCAAAGGGCAGTGTGCAACTCCCACCACCTCCTCTCTGCTTCTAAAGGAACCACTCACCTGGGGAAACTGAGGCCCCACTGAGCGGTGACTGTGGCTATGAGACCACATGGTCAGCCCAGCACGGCTGAGGCCCTTTATGAGATTAGTCCTCTGCGGGCCTTGCTCCCCCGTAGCCCCTCAGACACCCTTGGGCCCTTTCTCTGGTCTGCATCTGCTCTTCCCAGAAGGCACTGGTCCGAATCACTACGTTAAGCGCCCCCACCCCCAGCTCCCTCTGCCTGGACTGCAGCTTTTCTTCATCCTCCTAGCACAACTTTGCCTTTTTTTGAAGCCTCTGCCAACCTCACAGGTGGAAGGGACCACTTGTTCCCTGTCCTTCCTGGCCCCCAGATGCCTGCCTGAGCCCAGGAGGGACCCAGCTGGTCTCTCCCCGAAAGGCCTGTTTCTCAAGGATACGGTACCAGGCATATGTCAGGAACTGTGTGGCTCTCACCTCTTTTATAATTCCCAAGATTGGGAGGTTTTGATTACAAAATGCCTTTTACCCACACATAAACTGAGACATGAGTCACACGGCATGGAGGAGGCCCAGCAGTGCTTGGATCTACAGGCCTTGGTGACCTATCTCCATCTGAACTTCAGGAACGTCCTGTCCAGCACACACCTCCCTGAAGCCTGGCCTGCCCACCCTGCCATCTGCCCGTCCTCGGGAGGGGCCTCACTTCCTGCCTGGAACTGTTTCTTGGCTGATCTTCTCAGCATGCCACTCAGCCCAGGCCGGGACACCTGTGTGGTCCCGAGTAGCAACGCCCACCTCAGCCCAGGACAGGTCTGGTCTGGTCTTCCCAGATGCTGGAGGTGGCCCAGGTTGAGTAGAGGATGCATGGGGACACCTGGTGTCTGTCTCCCCTGTACTCGTATCCTGGGTTTCCTTTGGGGAACTGCCCCCCGCTCAGTCAGTCCCCAGGAGTTGACTGGCTGAAGGTGAGACAAGGGCACTGGCAGTACTTCTAAGTGGCAACCTGAGAGGAAATGAGCAAGCAGCTGCAGCTCTGGGCAACAAGAGGGAGGAAATATATCAAGCTGCTCACTGAATGAGCAAGCTGCTGTACTCCCTGAGAAAAGGTGGGATGTGGTGGCAGATCTGACAGAACTGAGCCTAAACTTCCCTCCACCTTCATTATACTGCTCATCTGTAATAAGATCTCCACCCAGAGGGGGACAGAACACATTTGGGGCCGTGTTCAAACTCATGCTTTTACAGTAACTAGACTCCACTCTGGCCAGGCATGGCAGTGCACGCCTGTCATCCCAGCACTCTGGGAGGCTGGGGCATGAGGATCCCAAGTTCAGGACCAGCCCAGACAACTTAACAACTTAGATCCCATTTCAAGAAATAAAAAATAAAAGGGCTGTGGATTTAGCTTCGCGCAAAGGTAGATCTTGGATTCAATCCCTAGTACCACCAAAATATGAAAACCCCAAAGAAAAACCCTACACCCTGTCCAGAGGCCCCAGATCCCTTCAGAAAAAACTCATGAATCATTAATGACATTCCACTGAGACCCCAGAAAAGTGAAACGGATCCTTTGTTATGTGCTTCTCTGCATATGGAAGAGCCAGTTTTTTTTTTGTACTGGGGATCGAACTCAGGACCTTGCACTTGTGAGGCAGGAGCAGTTCACTGAGCTAAATCTCTGGCCCCTGGAAGAGCCAGCTTTGATATTTCTCCTGAGGCTGCCTACGGGACAGCCAGCTTTGTTTCTTTTTTACAGTTGATCTTAGCCAAAGGCTGAGAAGCGATTTTTGCTTCTTTTTTATAATCAACTTTCCAATTAAAGTCTGCCTCCTTGTTGCCTCGATTTTACTTTCCCGTATCACTGAAGAAAGGAGCTATAAGCAGATGTCAAAGGTGAACACAGGACTCTGGGGAGGGAATCTAACTTAAAAGTAAAGCTAATGCAGAAAAACTCAGTGGAGAAATAGAAGGAGAACAAGAAAAAGAGAGACACAGGCATGGTAGCGGCATGTGATCTCTCTTCTGGATATGGCCATGTCTGAGCCCCCTTACTTTCTTTGCTTTAGCCAGTTTGAGCTAGGATCTCAGTCACTTGCAGTAAAACAGACCAATCCATCTGCTTCCATGTGAGTTTGGCTAAGGTGCAGACACAAGAATGAGTGTGTGAGTGGCCCCGAACCAGTCCTGTACCTCCACATGCAGCCCAGGCTCTGCCCCATGTGCTGTCAACAGCTGCTGATCGACTCAGCCTGAGTCAGAATCTGAGTCAGATCCTCCACCAGCTCAGCAGCCTCTTCTCCACTCTTGGGGTACTAGACCCGGACCCAGGCCTGGGTCTTGGGGTGGGTGGGAGGGGCAGTGTGCCCAGGAACTGCTCCAGCACCAGCAGCTCCAGGGTCTCCTCCTTGGAGCAGGACTCAGGCCGCAGCCTCTGCAGGCACAGCTCTCGGAGCTGGGCCGGTGCTTCATTCGGGCTGGATAGCTCCTCATAGTGGACTCCCTGGAAGCACAGCCTCGAGCTAGGCAGTGTGGCCAGGGGTGGAGTCTTGGTCCTTGGAGAGGCTGGCTTCCTCTTTTTCTTCCACCTTCACTTGCAGGAAGCTGTCCTGGTCCCAGGGAACTGGGCTCAGAAAACACCTGGGGCAGCCATTGGGCAGTGGTGCTCAGGGAGACATGGGGTGCCTGTGTCTGCAGAAGTGTCAGAGCTTTGCCACCACTTGGAATGGGAACCTTGGCCGCATGGCTGCAGAGAAAGGCACACACAAGCATAGGACTTGGAAGTTGCATCTCGCCTCAGAGATACAATGACCAGTAATCAGGCAGCACCCATTCATGCCGAGCATTTAAAACTTGTAACTCCCCAGGTAGCTACACTGTCATCCCTGTACTTTATTTGCTAATTTTTTGTACTGTCTGAGGTTAACACTCATAGCTGACTTTCAGCCTTTCCCCTTTTCTACTGCGTGTATTTAAGGCTGTATATTTTCCTCTAAACATAGTTTTAGCTGTGCATCACAAGTGTGATATGTTCTATCTTCACTTTAACTTAGTTCAAAATATTTTCTAATTGCTGTTGTGATTTCCTCCTTACTTATAGGTTGGTTAATGCTGCCGCTTCATTTCTAAACAATTGGGGATTTTCCAGGGTTTTTTTTCGTTACTGATTTCTAAGTTAAGTTTGTTGTTGTCAGAAACTGGTCAGATTTTAATCCTCTGAAATTTGCTGAGACTTGGTTTGTAACCTGTCTGTGGTTAATTTTGGTTACTGTTCCATGCACACTTAAAAATAATGCAAAGCAGGGGCTGGGGATTTAGCTCAGTGGTTCTGCCGCCTGGCCCCCAAGTGTAAGGACCCAAGTTTGATCCCAGGTACCAAAAAAGAAAGAAAAGAAAAGAAAAAACCCCACAAAGCCTTCTTAGGTATGACACCAGAAGCACAAATGATAAAAGATAGTGCAAGGTCCTGAGTTTGATCCCTGGTACCAAAACAAAACAAACAAAAATGATAAAAGATAGAATGAACTGGCATTCACTAAAATTAAGAAACTTTTGTGATTCAAAGGCTATGACTAAGAGGGGCCGGGGATTTAGCTCACTGGTTCTGGTGCCTTCCTTGCAAGAGAAAGGTCCTGAGTTTGATCCCCGGTACCAAAAAAAAAAAAAAAAAAAAAAGGCTATGACTAAGAAAGTGAAAAGGCAACCCATGGAATGAGAGAAAACAGTGGCCAATCATTTATCTGATAAGGGACCTGTAGCCAGGACAATTCTGTAACAAAAAGACAAATAATCCCATTTAAAAGTGAGCAAAAGAAAAGAAAAAAAGGTGGCAAAAGATTTCTGTAGACATTTCTCTGAAGAAGATATATAAAATACCAATAAACACATGAAAAGATGCTTAACATCATTAGCTGCCAGGGAAGTGCAAATTAAAACTGCAATGAACCCTGGGGTGGGAGCATACACCTATAACCGTAGAATTCTGGGAGGCTGAGGCAGGAGGATCATAAGTTTGAGCCCTGCTGGGGTAACTCAGCAACTTAGTGAGACCCTGTCTCAAAAGAAAATTTTAAAAGGGCTGGGATATAACTTTATACCTGTTGGTATGGCTATAATCAAAAGACAGAGGGCCAGGGATTTAGCTCAGTGGTGCCTCACCTGCCTTGTAGGAGTAAGGTCCTGAGTTCAATCCCTGGTACCACACACACAAACACAAAGACAGATGACAAGTATTGGTAAGTTTTTTTTTGGAATTGTGGACTGAACTCAGGACCTTGCGCTTTTGAGGCAGGGGAGATGCCACTAAGCTAAATCCCTGGCCCTATTTTTTTGTTTTTAAGTATTCTGGATTGAATCTATGCTAGGCAAGCCCTCTACCACTAAGCTACATCCCCATCCCCAGCCCTTTGTATTTATTTTTAGGCCACACTAGCTTTTTGCCTCTGTTAACACATTCAACCTGTGCTACCACCTTGTCAATATTACTGTTCCCATTTTATTTTTTAATTTTGGTACCAGGGATGGAACTCCGGACCTTGCACTTGTGAGACAGGCACAGTTCCACTGGGCTAAATCCCCGGCCCAACTGTTCCCATTTTAAAAGCTGGGGAAAATGAGCTCCTTGGGTCATCTGGTCAATTGGTGCAGAGCTGGGGCTTGAACTCAAGCATGTGATGTCATGTCATCTTTTCTTCACATAGGGCTGCCTCTCACAAGCTTTCTAAACTCTGGAAGAACCATGAGCAATGAATGCTACTCGGGCTGGTGAGCAGTCACCTCCATTCACTACTAGTGGGGGCAAGTAATTATCTCTGGCAAACAATTTGGGAATATAAGATCATTAAAATGGCCATGCCCTCTAGTTCACTATTAATTACTTCTCAGACTCCAATTTCATCTGTAGTTGAGAGCTACTGAATTCAGAGGGGGACATTTCCTTTGTACTACAGGACTTTAGGACTCATTCCCACCCAAGGAGACCAGTAAGCCCCTCCCCTAGTCATATAACAAACATACCACACATGCTTCCAGATAACCAATGAGGTAGGGGCAATACTACTCTCAGGACGTTCTTCAAAGTTGCTGTACTGTTTTTTCTTCCTATTAGCTCTGGGTGAGGGTTCCAGGTTCTTTAGATCTTCACAAAGTTCTTTGTTTTGGTGGTATTGGCCATTGAACATAAGGCCTTTCTTTACACTGAGCTGCATCCCCAGCTCCTTCTTCTACTTTTTAGTTTGAGGTAGTGTTTCACTAAGTTGCTAAGCTGCCCAGGTATATATTTTTTGTTTGTTTGAGGCAGGGTGTATGTAGTTCAGGCTAGCCTTGAAGTCATTATGTAGCCCAGCCTCACCTCAAACTTGGAGTGATCCTCCTGCCTCAGCCTTTCGAATACTGAGATTACAGGTGTGCACCACCACACCCTGATTGTTTGTTGTTTTTGTTTGTTTGTTTTGGTACCGGGGATGAACTCCGGTCCTTGGGCTTGCCAGGTAGGCCCGGAACCACTGAGCTAAATCCCTGGCCCTGTTTGTTGTTTTCAAGACAGGACCTTACTATGTAGTTCAGGTTGGCCTTGAACTTACTCTGTAGCCGAGGCTGGCCTCAAATTTATGGTCCTTCTGCTTCAGCCCCCTGAGTGCTGGGATTACAGGAGTGCGCCACCATGCCTGGCCAACAGGTGTACATTTATACAGCTCTGATCTTTCACCTTCTCTTTTGTACCAGACCAGACACTCAGTCTACTTGCATCAGTCTCTGCTCAGGGAAACTATCCTTCTTTTGGTACCTGGGTGCAGCGCCACTGAGCTAAATCCCTGCCCTTGTCACCTTGCTCTTGTTGTTTCCTCCACGCACCTTGGCCTTTACCCCTGCTGTTTTCTTCTCCTGAAATACATCTCTGTATCTAACTCCTCCTCATTGCCCAGGCCTCACCTTAGCTGCCACTTCTTAGAGAACCATCCTAGTCACCTGGTAGCAGATGAAGTCCTATTCCCACATTGCCCTAAGTCTCTTTTTCCCCCCTCAGTACTGCAACACCTAAAATCCCTGGTGAAGGTCTTAGACACACACACACACACACACACACACACACACACACACACACACACAAATATTTTCCCTCAGCTCCTTGGCCCACCTTTGATGTGCTGAACATATATCAGCTTGAGGTTCTCCAAGCTCATCCAGTTGCTTATCCAGCTGAAGATGGTTCTTTCATTTCCTAGTTCTTGTTTGTACCCAGCCTGACATCAGTACCTATCTCAGAGGGTGGCTATAAGGTTACAGGATGATCCATGACAAATGTCCAGCACAGGCCTGGCACACAGCATACATGTATTAAATGTCCACTCTGATGACTTCATAGTCCCCTGCCACACTTAAGCTTACACTGGGGAACATATCTATAACTAGATGACCACTGGTCACCCAGGTTTGGCTGTAGACACAGAAAAGCACAAATGTGTTATATACTTCGGAAACTCTGTGGATCACTCAAAATTTAGTCTCCCTGATGAAATCTCAAAATACCCATACACATGCTATCTCAGAGACAGTCATGTCCCAAACATAGCCAGGCACACAAAGTATTTCAATGTAATCAGTCTAATAAAAACAGGTCCTCGTGGCATCCCCCCCCCCAGTAAGCCCACCACAATCGCTTATCATTTCTGTCGGCATCTCAGCCAGGCCCACAGAGTCTCAGGCACGCGTGAGATCTCAATGTCAATTTCACCCACCTGCTCACTCACAGTGCGCAGAACCCAGTACAAAATCTCAACCAATTTTTCCGTCAGCCGCGCGCGGGCACTCCGGGTCTGTCAGTCGGTGACGTACTGGACGCGCTCGCAGGCCGGCATTCGGTCTCTCGCTCCGGTGCCTCTACCGGCCGGTTCTGGGGGCTCTGGGGGCGCGCGGTGCTGCTCCCCGCCCGCTCTGCGGCGCGCCGCCTGCACCTCCGTGACCCCAGGCGATCAGCCGCGCGCCGGACCACAGATCCCGGCGTGCCCCGCTGCGCATACCCTCGTCGGGCGCCTCAGCTGGACTACAGGTCCCAGAGAGCACCGCGCGGGGCGCGTCGGGAGCTGCAGTCCGAGGGCCGTCAGCGCCGAGGAACCGCAAGGGGCGTTGACTGGAGGCCCTGGGGGTCCTCGCGGTGCGGAGTAAGGGCTGAGGGCGCCTGCGTGGGGGGCTGAGGGCCGGCGGAGGGCGTGGATAGGGAGCCCGCGCGGGGTCGGGGCGGAAAGAAAGGTGCAGTGGAGAAAAGGCAAGTCCCCATTTCAAAATAAGAACTATAGCTTCAGGACACAGCAATTTAAATATTTTTTTCTTCCCAAGACACAGCAAGACTGTGCCATTGCTTTTCAGTCGTTCAGTGGCCCTTGCAAAATGGGCTTTTCCTCTCCTGGACGGCACAGGTCCGTTACCTGTGACGGGGCAGCATCCCTTCCTACAGGGAGGACTAGTCGCCTTTTACCTGAGAATTAAGTCCCCTCTTTCCAAAGATTCCCAAGTTCTGAAGATTTCTTCCCCCACCGAACCTCCCATAAACCGATGCGGCACCCAAGGGTCCCGTCTTTTGAGTGGGGACTTTAGAAAGTTCTGCTGAGTAAATCCCTTTATGCTTGTGACTGACAAGTTCTCCAAATTCTTCCTCTGTTGCGGAGGTCTGCGGAGCTGCAGCCTGCCCGGGGGGTGGGGTGAGTCAGGTTCCCCAGCTGCACCCTGGGGCCGCCCTGAACGCCGCCTGATGACGGATGGGAACTCGTGAAAAATGAGGGGACCCGCGGGAGGGGGCGCTCTCTTTTATCTGCGTGTGTGTTCGTATGTGTGCGTGCGTGCGTGTGTGACTGTAGTTCAGGCTGGCTTTGAACTCACTGTGTAGCCCAAGCTGGGCTTAAACTCATAGTCTCCTGAGTGCTGGGATTACAAGTCTGTGCTCCCCACCAGGGAGGACTCCTTGCTTGAGGCCTGCGTTTCCTACTGGAGGATGGCAGTCCTTGTGTGAGGCCTTTGGTCCCTGTTTGAAGGAAGGTGCTACCCGTGTGAGGGGTAGGGTTGTGTGTGTGTGTGACACGATGACTCCCGAGGGAAGGGTCTAGGAATGGAGAGATGAGTGTGGGTGTGACATCAGTGGCCTGGGGATAGGTGGCTGGGACTACGGAAAAAGCAAGAAAGATGTGATACATTTTTTCCTTTGCTTTCTTAATCATTAGCTGTAGATAAAATCCACACAAGCTTGTGGTTTCACACTTGAGCTCAAGATAATGTAACCTCTTCTGAGCCTGCTGATAAGGTCCAGGCCCTGTACTGAGTCCAGGCTGTGGGTGAGGGGTTGGAAAACATCCACCTAGGGAGTAAATAAGGATTTCCTTGGTCAACACAGCCCATTTTCCTTGAGGAAGAACAATGACCTCAAAGGAAGGAAGGGGTATTCCTCAGAAGACCCAGCCAATCATAGATGTAAGGTGAGACCTCGTTCAGTGCCACTGTCATCTTAGTACTTGCCCACCTTCACACTTGAAAGTGTACTCTTTCTCTGAAAACCTGTCATTTTGCAGTGAACTCTACCTGTATTCTCTATGAGGGCCTATGTGTCTTGTCTGAATTTTTTTTTGTACCGGGGATCGAACTCAGGTCCTTGCTCTTACTAGGCAGGCATGGTGCCTCTGAGCTAAATCCCCGGCCCTGAAATGTTTTGTTAAAGATACAAAGCCTCAAGGCTGGTTCCTTGTGGTGTTAGGACCCAGCTTTCCCGCGACAGTAAGACCACCTGGTGAGAGGGGTGCAGTAATGCAGCGAGGAGTTTGTGCGACCGTGCGTGCGTGGGTTTTGGCGGCTGTATGACTTCCAAGCATGGGGGGGGGGGTCGAGCGTACCTGGGTGACAGCTGAGGCCCTTTGCATGGGTGAGTGCGCCTGTGTGAGGGAGGACCGTGCCTGAGCTAAGGACTGAGGGGGGGCGGGCGTCTGAAGAACGAGGTGCTTTCTCTCCAGGCAGGTGAGGAAGGGGCTGGCAGAGCCAGTGTTGGGATGAGGCTCGCTAAGGGCGCTGCTCTGTTAGCTGAGCGCGCCGCTTGTCTCCGAGGGTGCTGGCCGGTGGCTGAGCGTGCTCATGTGTGGAATGCGGGTGCCTGTGTGAGGGGTGCTGGCGACTGTGGGAAGAAGCTGTCTTTGAGTGGCTTGGCAGGGAGCCACTGTGTGCACGCGATGAGGGTGCCTGTGCGGGGTGCGGGTCCCTGCCGAGGGCGGACGGCGCCTGCCTTTGTGAGCTGCGTGCCTGTCGGTGCGTGGGAGGATGGTGAGCGTGGGAGGGCCTGGGGATAGGTGACAGGCAGGGCGGCCTTGGGCGGGAAGAGACCGCATGTGAGGAGGTGGCAGAGGTGTTCGGAGTGCGGTGCTCTGCACCTGTGTGGGCGATGGTTCCTGTGTGAGTGCCAGAGTGCCTGACGCGATCTGGGCTGTTTTTCGGGAGCTGTGGCGCAGTGAGGGGTGAGGGCATTTTCATGGGCTGGTGCTTTTGAATATGGACTGGGAATGCCAGTTTGAGGGTTGGAGGAGCCTGTGTTTCATGAGGCCTGTGTGTCAGCCCTGCCTGGGTGAGGGAAGATCGTGTGCTTGTGTTAGGGGTGATTGTGAGGGTGGCGAACGTGCCTGTGTGCGTGGGCTGAGGATGCCTGGGCAGGGGGCCTAGGGTGTGCAAAGGGTGCCCCTGTAAGTCATGACAGAGCCTGATTCATGCCCTGCCCGCGCATCGCCTTGGGACTCAGGACTGGATGAGTCTGTGCGTGCGCGGGTGTGCATGCGAGTAGCAAACCTCGGCTGCCAGAATGTGTCCTGCCAGCCCTCATGGGCTCCCTCTTGCCACTGGCCCTGGAGGCCCCGGGCACCTCCGCCTGAGGCTCAGCCTCTGCCTCTTGTAGGCCTTCTAGGCAGCTCACGCCCTCCCACATCCCCGAATACTAACAAACCATACCCGTGAAGACCCTCTGGCTTTCTGGGAAGAATGAACTGCCCAGGGACAATCTCTGCTAACTACCCTTCCTCAGCCTTTGTCCTGAGCTTCAGATGCCAGAAAAGCTGTGTATTTCCTCCCCATCCGAAGCCTGTGCCCTGCTGCCCTCTCCTGGCTGCTGGGCTGACCACCACCCAGGCTGGGCTTCCTTCTGGTCCCTCACTCAGGGCTGACCCTGCCACCCCCTCCCGTGGAACAACATGCACCCTGGCTGGCTGGATGCTGTGTGAAGTTCTCTGGGTTGATGCCTGAGTCCCTGCAGGAATCTGCATCGCCACCCATGTTTCACAGATTGAAGCAGCACAGAGGGCAGGAGGCCTGGAGTTCAGCAGGCACGGCTGGACTTCAAGCCTGTGAAGCGTGTGAGCAGCCCTGGAGAAGGAGCCAGCTCAGACCTCAGGCAGTGCTGGCAAGTCCCTGCTTCAGATGTCCGTCGTGGGCCTGGACGCTGTGCCCACAGCAGGCGGCTGGGGTGTAGAGCCTCCCGTCAGCTGCTGTTCAGGACTCCCACAGGGCGTGCTGCAGAGTGCATCTCTCGCATGGTGTCCTTGCAAAGCTGAGCTGCTTCTTGCTGTGAGCTGCCTCTTTTCCTCGTGCAGGTTGGTGGCCCTGTGGCCCTCCTCTGGGGGACAAGGCTTCTGGGGCTACAGCTGTGTTGGGTCACTGTGCTCTGATGGGTTACCTCAGCAGGGGACCAAAGCCTGCACTTCCAGCAAGAGGCCACCCTCAGCCAGCTCCCAGAGGGGCCATCTCTGAGCTCTCTGGTATCCTGCCTGTTGTAAGACCATGGGCCTTAACAAACGCTCTGAGGAGCTGACTGGAGCGAAGAACACCTGGGAAGGAACACACCCGACAAGTTGGAAAAGTAAAACAGACCTTTATTAGTCTGGCCAGAGGGCACTCTCCAAACAACAGGCTTAGAGAGGGCCCCGAGTTCAGGGGGTTGGAAGGTTTTAGAGGGGCTGCAGGGGTGCTTAGCAAGCAGAGCTACAGAAGTGGAATTTTTGCGGTTAGGGGACGGTTGTGTGTGGGGGTTGCAGATGTTCTTTACTTAGCAAACAGGATGTTCCTTACACAGAAACAATGGTACATTCCTGGTGTCTTAACAGATAAACAAGTACATCCTGGGAACTCTGTGTCCTGTAGTGAAACTGAAACCCACAGGGACAAG